TGCTGCCCCAGCGGCTTGCCCTTTTTTCCTTTTAGCCACGCGACCTCCTATTTGAGGCACCAAGAAGCCATTACCGAGAGAGAGAGAGAGAGAGAGAGAGAGAGAGAGAGAGAGAGAGAGAGAGAGAGAGAGAGAGAGAGAGCAAGACAAAGACATTGGATGGTTGTGCCCTGTGGCCCCTGTGTGGGGTTGTTGTGCCGTGTTTCTCTTCTCCTCTCTTTTATTGCCTCACATAAAGAGCCGGAGCGCGGACCGGTCGGCCGTGCTGACATGATGGTACGCAGCGAAGCTCTGCCCTGAAGCAAAGAGACGGCATCTCTCGTCTACTGAAGCTGCTGCTTGCACTTTGTGTGTCTTTTCTCTCCTGTGATGTCCAAGCCACTGATGATGTCATTTTTGTGTACAAAAGTACCGACCAATCTTTGCATGTTCACAATACATGTTTTGTGTGTGTATATACAGTATATATACGTATAGACAACTACAGTAGTGCAGTGAACTTAAAAATACAGATGTGTCCAAACAAAAATCTGCCGATACCATCAATATTATAATTCATTGCATTTATATAGCGCTTTACAAGATACTCAAAGCGCTGACATAGTGTGTGTGTGTGTGTGTGTGTGTGTGTGTGTGTGTGTGGGGGGGGGGGGGTATGGCACCTCATCCCCTACCAGTGTGCAGCACCCACTTGGGTGAAGCACGGCAGCCAGTATGCGCCAGAACGCTCACCACACACTGGCTCAGTGGAGAGATGAGGAAATATTGCTAATATGAATAAATATTGATATGAATAAATATTGATAATATGTCCATATTTTCTGTTTCTCTGAAGACCTATGTCCTTCAACTGTGTCTTTGTGTGTGTTTTCCGCCGCACATCGCCGTTTGATACGAGGTCCAACACCTGTTTGTAGTCCCGCGGTCTAAGTTTACGCTCCAATTGTCAAAAAGACGAGCTCTCTCGCCGACATGCTCTCGGCACGTCGGCTCGGGGGGGGGGCGGCGGGGAGGGGGTCGGGGGGGAATCCCCGCCGCCATCTGGGCGGCTGTTCCCATTCACACGAGGGTCAACGCCGCATCATCTGGAATCTTAAATTCGAGGATTGGTGTCATGGTGTTATCTCACACAACTTTGTGCACGCAACGCATTTTTTCGCCGTTGTATTTGTTTTTTTTGTATTGACGTCACCGTTTTTTCATCCACTGTTCGACGTTATTGCCATAACAACGACGCATTGAAATTGTTTTGCCCGACAAACGTATGATCTAGTTGTTGTTGTTGTTGTTGGTGTGCGCAGATGTATACACTTTTAGCGCAGAGGTCAGCAGAACCTTGCCCAGCTGTGATCTGTAGCGGAGGACATCAAACAATTAAGTTGTCACCGGGGGCAACGAAGGGACATGGTAACTGTCAGACAGTTAGGCCGGCTGCTGAGCTCGCATATTTATGACCATTTTAAAAATAGGTTTAGCATGTATACAAAGTAAACGCTACCTCTGCCACGTTACGGTATGTTTAGCTCATTCTCATTGTGTCGGACGTTAGGACGTCTTCTCTTGGGGATGATGTCATACTGTATTCACCAAACACATGCTTCGCTTCACATCACATAGATATATATATACACACATAAACAAAGAGAAAAACAAACATGCATGTGGATCCATACACACACAACCAAGAAACCAATAAACACACATCCACTCTTAAGTGAAACACAAATGTTGGAGCATTGAAGCTGCGCTTGTATCATCCGCTGGTCTCTTTTATCCGGTTACCGTGAGTGGCCCTGTGTTTACGTTTCTATTTGTGACGTGCATGGGATAGAAATCCTCCGTTCCCCTGACCTTCTGTGTGTCTACCACCACCACCACCACCACCACCACCACCATCATCATCATCTTGTCTGGTGTGTTTTTTTTCTCCTTTTCTGAATGGCTTAATAATTGATTATCCTCAGATCACCCCCCCCCCCCCCTCCCCCCTCCCGGTAATCACCGCCATGTCTTCCATCAGTTAGCGGCCTGGCGGTGCGATCGGCTAATGGTGAGAGCCATCATCCCTCCATGATCACATTCATTTGTCCAACTGTCTCAAAACTCAAGACTTGCGTTGACAGACGCATTTTTTAATTATTTTATTATTTTATTTGTTTTCTCCATGATTACGATGTGCTGCATGAAATGTAAATCATAAGATGCATTTAGGGTATTTGTTTGTCCATGCTTAAATCCCTTCTCTCTCCCTCGCTCTCAGTCAATCTCTCGCACTTTCTCTCTTACTGTCTCTCAAGCTCTCTCTCTCTCTCTCTCTCGCTCTCTCTCAATCTCTTTCTCTCTTACTGTCTGCTCTGTTAAAACGAAGGATTTAAAATCTGTTTATAGATTAAGTATTCCAATATGGATTTCAGTGGACTGCTTAATTTTTAGCTACCAGTTCTTTACGACAAGGACGGCCCTTTGGAAAATCCCCGCTGAACTCACAACCAATCCTACAACATGTTATTAGAATCTGTTGGGTAAAATTATACGCTGCAATAACCTCTGCTGTTATTTATCTGAGGTATATGGGGATGATCTCTATCTCTTTCCACCACTAGAGGTCACTAAAGCTTTTCCCACCGACATGTTCCACTTCTGTTGTGTGGGAGTGTTTTTTTCCCTTCTTTTTTTGTATCTCAGCTGACTAAGGCTTTGTTTACCTCTGTTGATGTGCCTCTCTGGCAGTTACAACGCAGTTCAAATGGTGGTTTCGCACAATAAAGCCTGAAACACTAAAACCCACTATAACAGGATTGGCTTGTCTGTGATTTATTTTTATTTTTTAGAAAGCAATAAATGAAGGTAATACCCCTTATGGTGTCTGGCAGATGTGGGCAGGCGGGTGGATGGAGGGGGATCAGAATTTAGTTATATTTGGGGTTTTTTTCTTTTAGGAAAAACAAGAACGCAGTCTGTTACTGATACTGGCAGACATCGCCTGTCTCCTTCTCTTTGTAATCTAAGTGGTGACATTCACATTCATGCACCTAACCCAAGCAAGCTGTCTCCTCCCTACACTATTTTAAGCATGAACATGTCCATTTAATGACGCAAAGCAGATTATAAAAAAAGCCACAGCTTTATGGTATAGATCCCACGCATGTCGGAGTCAAGATGTTTGAATGAGTCTTGTCTGTATTGCTTACAAGATAGACTTAAATATATGTGCAAGTTAAAATAAAGGCATCTGCCCAAGATATCATTTTAAGTATAATGAGAAATGAGAAAATGGTAACATTTGATTAATTTGGTATGGTAGCTAAACCTGCTGGGATTTTAGTACAAGATTTTATCGATTCCAAAAACATTATGTTGTATTTCCTCGTAGATAAATCAATATGGCATTATTAAAAAACATGTTTATGTGGTCAGGTGTTCGCTCATTTTGATGTCTTTGTCTTTTAAAGCAGAGATTTTTCGATAAGCTCTCTGACATTTCCCCCCCGAGTTACATAAAAATGTGCGCCCTGTAATAAAGTGTGACCCTTTGTAATGAGACTCTTAACACCAGAATCTACTACACAGTAACTCAACCACACCGGTTTTGTGAACAAAAGTAGTGTAGTTATAGCCTAAATATAGAAAATCATTACGTAAATGAGGCCATGGCTAGGCCTACAAATGTTAAAAATATACTAGTTATGATAGCCTAATTAAATCTCATGACCTAATTAAGATGTATTTGTCATTTATTGTACATGAATATACATTAATATGTACTGATACACAATTGTGTATTTTAGAAAACCACGGAAGCTAAGCTAGCACACATACAGTAATTTGTATTTCCAAAAGCGTCCCAATAAGTTATTATCAATATATTGTCAATGCATGTTTTTTTGCTCAATGAAAATGTAAATGTAGGAGGCCTACTTCGTTTAAGGCACACCATTCATAACGGCTGTAACAGCTTCAATCAACACAGATGTGAATTTAGATAGTGGAACCGATTTTTCCACCCTAATATATTTCTGGTGATAACCAAACTTCTTCTTCTTCTATCTTTGTGGTCTGGTTTCTCATCTCGCTGACAGGGGAAGTAGGTCTGCTGTGGAGGGAGCACTCTGAAAAGACAAATCACGAAAACAGTCTCTAGTGGCACTTTCACACAGCACTGAGGCGCTACAAAGGAAAGGTGCTGCCCACTTAATGTGCCTGATGCAGCTGACACACAAAACATAACGATTGGCTGAACTTAACATTTAACGTAGCTAGTGAGAGTGCATTGTACAATGTCAGATGTTTTCCAGGCTAACCACTATAGTCTCAGTCAGAGGAGCTATAACGTTTGGTTGAACACAACTCCTAATGAAGCTAGCTCACGCAGCATGAGCAAATTTCAAAATGTGCTTTTTCCAGGATAACCGCTAGCCTCAGTCAGAGCTATAACGATTGGTTGAACACGACTCTGAATGTAGCTAGCTCACATAGCAAGCGCAAATGCCTAAATTTGCTTTTTCCAGGCTAACCGCTAGTCTGGGTCTTGGCATACACCTGGTGCGGGGAATCACGGGAACCTGAGTTTTTCATAATGGATGGATGAATAGCATTGCGCTAGGGTTCATTTGATCGTGACGCTACGATAGAGCCTCCTCCATAGCAAATATAGCTGCCAGGCTGTGCCAGGGATGTTGCTACCCCCCCCCCCCCCCCCCCACCGCTTTAGACTGAGAGAGTGTGGGCAGAGCCACATGTCTTTTCAGCCTAGGCCCTAATCCCCTCCCTGTTAATGTCTCAATAAGACTGTGGTAGCTTCCAGGGGTTTTAGCCACGGGCCGCTAATGCAGGGACAGCCCCCTTTCCCACCTTCTCTCTGCAACAACCAAATTATGTCTGGCGTTTTTTCTTTTCCCTGTGGGACGGACAGTTCGTTGGACAGTTCAACATGTTACCATGTTGTCGCTGTTATCCAAAGCAACGTACAGCGATGTGTTTCCTATTTAAGATACGGGTAGGGGTCAGGCCATTGGGGTTCGAACCCAGAACCTTTTGGCTCGGAGTCAAACATCCAAACCTAGATGATCCTGCCCCAGTTCACAAAACATTTTTTTACATGCTGCATTAAATCATTAGTAGAGCATGGCATTATGTCTGACATAAAAACCGCCACTCCCTGTTGATGTTGTGGTTATTATTTATCTATAACCATAATCTATAGGAATACACTGCAGGCTACGATCATCGTTAGTCAATTACAGCCGCTGTTAGATTGCAGATTTGACCCCACAGCTTTGATTTTCTATGTCTCTCTCTCTCTCTCTCTCTCTTTCACATCCACCAAAATATGTCAAAATATATTTTAGTATTTTGACATTTAAATATTTAAATACACATGAAGTACATCTCATCTGGTGTCTACTCCTCCTATTGCTGCTCACAACACAAGCATGAGCCTTCACCCATGCACACACACATTGTGTCTATTTATATCTTGGTTACACACACACACACACACACACACACACACACACACACACACACACACACACACACAAAAACACACAAAAACACAAAAACACACACACACACAGCGAATATTATAAGTGAGTAATTAAATAAGTGTTGTCATGCGTGTCTGATGTGACACATGGAATCGAACGTGCGAGCCTGACATGGTTTCAGCCGCGAGGGTAACGTGACGCAGTTGCGCCCCTTTGTCTGTGCATAATGACATACAGTGAACAGCAAATTCATTTTTCCTGCTCTTGCTTCACTCTACAACCACAGGTGTTAAATCCGAGCTACAATTACGTGGCTCTCTATATTTACTATGTACCAGTACAAAAGATTTTGTGGGGGAAGAAATGAATATGAAGAAATGAAAATGAATATAAATGATGAAATGATGTGTTATTTGGTGAACATTAAATGGGTGGTACAAATGCAGTTTAGTGAGGAGTTTATGAAGGTGATATTCAGATTCAAGAACATTTGAATGAAAAAAAAATATTATTTTAATATTCAGTTCAAATCTTTGCAAAATGTTCCTAGTACCCCCTGCAATCCTTCAAAGTACCCCGAGGGGTACGCATACCTATTTGAGAAACCCTGCACAAGTGGAGCAGGGCTAGCCTAGCCGCTAAGTTGTATACAAACAGTGGGTAAGTCGCCATGGCTTTAGTGTGTCTTTCAATACCACAGTCCCTTATATGCTATTGTTTATTCTTTTAATGAAAGAAATGTGAGATTACATTGCAATATTATGTCATGTCAATACCAAGACTGACAGTGGGGGAAAAATACTATTTAAAAAGAAAAGAAAACCACATTGTGTTAGGGTCTAGTCCTATTGGTGAGTTCACAATGGAAATACCATAGAAACACAATGGAAACACTGCAGTTACTGCAATACTATACCTTCATGCCATTATTTGTTTATGGTGTAGCACTGTATTCAAAACATGGACAATATATTTTATATTAATTCTCTAATTACCTCTTATTTTGAATTGTCCCACTATATATAATCTTGTATGGAGGTCAGACACAAGATCAGGTACAGAAATGACCCTGACACTCTGAGGGAAACACTATTAATGTCAGCCTGATAAAATAGGCCAAGTATCCAACGTTACCATGGTAACAAAGTAATGATGCACAGTGTTTAAGACAGAGAGGCAGGCAGACAGACAGACAGACAGACAGACAGATACATAGACAGACATACAAACAGATAGATAGATAAACAGACGCTATGCTAATACTATGAAAGGGAACACAGGCTATCAATTAATTTGATCAATGTAAGATGGAACAGGACCATATTGAACGCTTGAATGTATAAATATGATTACCACATGTTGTTGATCAAGCGTCCCTAAGTGCAAGTAAGCGACGGTTAGCTGACTCATCACCCACAAGACAGGACATAACGCCAATATGGTCAAAATGTACTAGACTAGATAGGCATGTGCACACACAATCCGATCAGAAACACCTTCTTGAGAGGATTTAGCAGAACAGAAAGCATGCACAGACAACTAGTGCACAGGAAACGAGCTTGCACATAGGGCAAGTGGAACAGAACTAACGCTGTGAAACTGTTTGACAGTGGCTTCATGAACCAACAATCGGTTGATTGTTGAGTGTCGAATGCACGACAAGACAGGCAGGCAGACAAGCAGACAGACAGACAGGCACACAGACACAAATAGATAGACACACATATAGATAGATAGACAGGCAGGCAGGCAGGCAGGCAGACAGACAGATAGACAGACAGACAGATAGACAGACAGATAGACAGACAGACAGACAGACAGATAGATAGATAGATAGATAGATAGATAGATAGATAGATAGATAGATAGATAGATAGATAGATAGATAGATAGATAGATAGATAGATAGATAGATAGATAGATAGATAGACAGACAGGCAGGCAGACAGACAGAAAGACAGATCAACATATAGATGTTAGGCAATATGTTTGACACCGTACTACGTAGCAGAACGACATGCATTCTCTGTTGAACCTTACAATGCATTAACTACTCAGTAGCACTGTGCCGCCTGGCATGCACCCCCCACTAGCCGCAGGGTCGGCTTAGTCTATCTGTCATCTCTCCAGATCAGTGTGCAAACCCCCCCCACGGAGGGGCATAGGGGGGGGCCCTATGCCCCTCCGTGCCTCAATGTTCATGGGACTGTTCAAAATTGTGCTGTGAAAAAAACCCAAAACTGTATTGCAATGTTGAATTAGCTTAACCATGCATTAGCTATCAATGAATAATCAATTAAAGGCAGCGAGCAATCCCAATCATTTTGGGAGAAGACACAGTGAGGTCATGCACAATAAATGACATTTAAAAGCACACCGTGTTTACAAGCACCCCCACCCCCCCCCGAGTTAAGCAAACTAACAGGCCCACAGGTCAATTATGTAACAAATAATATTCTTGACTCATGTTTTTTTTTGCTGCATGACTCATTTGACTGTTTTGACTGTTTTGATTCATTAGATCCAGGAACGAATGGGCTCTTTCATTATGAGATTGTAGTATTTTAGTATATCTATGGCCTCGCGAGACCCTCCAAATATTCACGTTTGCGTTTTGCAATGAATATTGATTTCCAAAATATGGCCGCAGCCTTACGTTGTTCAGAAAACCAATCAGAGAAACGCTCTTACTCTCTTTGCTCTTGCCGAATCCGGTTGGAAGTAAAGCAAAAACATATTCTCAAAAGAAAAGCCTTCTGTGCAGATTTATGTTAATCCTTCAACATCGTTATTCAGTCTATTTCAGATAAAAACTGTTTTGATTTGCTCCGATTGCTACACTTTCCTCGGGCGCCGCCGTTATTTTTTTAACTCGGCAGACTGTGCTGCTCCTTGTTTGTCATGAACTGAGACTCCCTCCCCCAAGCGCTGATTGGTCATATAGTTTTTCGATTATTTCCTCACGAGGCTTCATGGTGAGATTCCTGTCTAGTACATTTTGTATGCCTTGCTCATTGGCTCTGCGGCTCTGAGACGTGACAACAGGTAACCCTCAAAGGGAAAGCCATGAACATCCATAAATACCAAAAGAGAAATGCTTTTCAATTACGTCATTTAACGACCCCCCACTTCCCCCCACGTTCCTCAAACCCTCCAATAAGGAGGTAGGAGGAGGGCCTAAGTGGAATCTAATTATCTTATAAGTGTCACACTTGAGGAGAGTCAAGGAGCCTGTGTAGTGGGGTCTCAAAGTGGTGGCAGGAGACCCACACAGGACTCTGGCTCTGGTCCGTCGGGTCCTCAGGCGGAAGTTATCAAAGTGGCAGGATGCTCATGCATCGTGTCTGCTTAGATAACAGCCAATGAGAGCGTTAGCTTGTCTCATCGGTCATTGTTCCGTACAGGGGACCTTTATAAGTTCATAGATATGACAACAGCCAATGAGAGGCATTGTGCTCCTCTGTCATTTCTACTGAGGACCTTTATAAGGAACGGTTCATAAATAAGACAACAGCCAATGAGAGGCCTCGTCTCATCTGTCATTGTCCTGTACAAGGACTGGTTCATATGGTTAGGGTTGGGGTTAGGGTGAATGCTCATGAATACTCTTTGGTGAGACATCAGCTATAGCGACACCGATGTCTCGAGATATTGTGTTTTTATTGGTATATGTGTTTATGAAGCGCTTTGAGTCATCTGATCTGATCTGTCCGCTGGTCATTGTGTGCAACAAAATCAGGTGCGTGTGTGGAGCAATATGATGTAGGCTACCAAATCAAATGTTCAAGGGGGGAAATCCCGAGAGTCGGGCAGCAGGAGATGAATGCAGATTGAATGAATAACATTACATTCTGTATCTGCACATCATAAGCTGCAGAGGTTGTTATGCCAGGAAAACTGGCATCCAATATTGGACCTGGATTGACAGTGTCAATCCAGGTCCAGTTAAAAGCCAATGGAAATTATTACAATAATATATCAATAACAGTCGTCAATAATGTAGCCTATATCTTTCCCAGGATAGTCTCGTGGGAGCATGAATGATTAGTGTGTCTGACTCCCAGCTGAAAGCTTCTGGGTTCGAATCCCAATTCCTATCTGACATCCTTGAGCAAGAGACCTTCCCCTAACCTATTAATGACCTGCAGGCCTATCTTAACAAAATTCACCATTAGTTGCTTTGGATAAAAGGGACTAAAATAAAATAGTGAATAGCAAACAGGAAAGACTGTCCTTCAAAACCTTGCATGTCCACTCCATAGCTCGTGTTACAGACTCCATATGATAAACACTGCGGTGGCGTCTCTCGTCTGCCGGTTGAAAGTGTCGTACCGTACGTGTGTTGTGGGGAAACACTGCGGTTAAACATCGAAGTGCTCTGTCAGCACATGTACTCACACACCGATCGTTCATTTTCAGTGCATTCTGTGAGGAGACTTTTTTTTCGAAACAGCAAGCGATGGAGTTCACCAGCAGAACAGAAGGAAGAGGGAAAGTGAAAGTGAATTAATTTGCGAGGCGGATTCATTAAACCGCACCATATATATATATATCGTGCTCGCACTTATTCCTTTCGTCTCTTCTTCTGC